CGTCATTAAATTCTAAGAACAGGTTCGCACGAACCGGCTGAATCCCACCACTGGCCTTATTAATAAAATCAAACACTCCCACAATTAACGAATACATCTCTATATGTCTTTGATCGTTATTTCTCCAAACAGTCCTAATCTTACGCAAATATTTCGCACATTTCCACAGTCTCATATTTATTCCCTTTTTTTCTGTTCAGCTATAAATCAGTAATCTGTCATATTAGCAGGTTGATGTGCACATGCATAAGTATCGACTATCAATTCTAAAATATAAATACGTTGTTATATTGTTGAATGTTGATTTAAATACTAAAACCTTCTTTAACGTTAACACTTGTGTACTTGAGAATGATCGTACCAGTGATCAAAATGTCTTACCTGTTTTAAAAATAATCTTCCTTATTCTAAAAGCTGTAACTGGTAATAAAAAATAGAATAATAGTTTTGGCTATATAAGGAGGTTGTAAGATATATTGTTAAACGTCTGACATTGTTTAATTTATCAGTGTAAAAATGATAGCCAAAACGCTAAGGTAGCTGAAGTTTCTTATCTCCTTCTGATTCAGCTATTACGTCAAATAAAAGGGGTCATTGAAATAATTGCATTTAAGTAGAAATTGCTTGGTTGGGCAAAAACAAGTTTATACAGTCTCTAGTAATAAAAAAATCGAGGTTACTCAATATCAAACGAAATTTGTAAAATGAAGAACAAATATATACATATATGTGTACACATATTCATTATATACACATATTTATATTTGTGTGTGTAAACTGTAATATATAGAGACCCACTGTAATCTTGAATGATAACGTCGTGATGGGAGTGGGGCTGAATTCCGCTCTCGTTGCACTCTTGGGAGTAATCATTTTCCACCTACTTCAGGTAAGTTTTGCACTTTTAGTAAGTAGCTGCATATTGTGCATGCAACTTTTGCGGGAGAATTGTAATAAACTCTTAGCATCGCAAAAATAGAAGTAGTAGTACTTACACCATATGCTAGGTAAGTGACATGTTATAATAATAATATTAAGAGTCTGGCTCAGGAGTCAAGTACCTACACTGTACACGTGCGCCGGTAGTGTGGCCTCGGAGTTAAACTTGACGTGGCTAAGTTAAAACAAGTTGTACTGTAATTTGTATCTTGGTTCTATGAGTAAAATTAAAGTGAAGCTTATTTTATTAACAAAACATACGTTTATGTATTTTCAAATATTGTAACTGTAAGAGTAGGTCTATTAATATTACTTATTATAATTTATAGTATTGTAATTAATAATTGAAAAATAATTGATAGTCTACTGTCTAAACCTAGGGTTGAGTGAAAATTAAAATAATAAATGCAAAAAGCCTTAAGTTTGATTTTTAAAGTTTAATAATTAACTGCAAAAGCATTAAAGGTTGCTGCCTTGTTTATATATGCCCCTTGCTAATTTTGATTATTGTAGTACTAATCTTGAAGTAGAGCAACAGGAACACCAAATATTAACTTCTTTCTTGTAATGATATAGTTACTTATTATTATATGTATTTGTTGGTGAATGAAATATTAATTTAAGGCTAATCAAAATAATCAAACTTACATATTCCATCTTGAATTATGTTGTGGTATTGACACATACAGTATACTTGTTACATTTTTGGGTGGAGATTATCTGTATATTGTTAATTTTAATACAAACTGAGATTAGTAAGTTATCAATTTGCTCTGAATTTTTGGTTATTAAAACTGTTTTGAATTTTTTTTGCCATCAATGATTGAACAAAAGTACTTTAATTTTACATATAACTCCCACAAATGCACAGTAAAGTCTGTCTTCTGTGGCACTAAATATGTCAGTTTTCATTTTCTTTTCTTTTTGTGATGAACTCGAAAGTTTATGCTGTTTATTATGACATTTGAATCTTAAATTACTATTTAAAATTTTAATTTTCCACATTTAACAACTATATCAAATGTTTCAGTAAAAATTTGGTTTCCTGTAGGTACCTAACATACAGATTTATCTCATAAGCTTAGGTATATAATCATTATTTGCATGCATGTGTGTGTGTGTTTATCTAGTGCCATATGTTTCTAATGTTGGACTTTATTGTAGTTTTTATATTGAAACTTAATGCCAAGTTGACTATTTATGTAGAACATTTCCTAAAAATTAAGATAAAATGCATTTATACAAAAAAGTAGTTTAGAAGTAAGTATGAAGTTTGCATTTACAGAACTAGAATGGTTAGAAAGTCATATACAGACAGCTATAGCTTCTAGAAATGACCATCTTCACTTGTATTATTGTACTGAGTAGATGGGCTTAGTTAGGTTAAATAATAGTTTTAAAGATAATTCTATTTGATTTTAAAATAAACATAGTGTTGGAAGAATAAACTCAGTTGCTATTAATTAAGAATATTAGGAACAAATTGGATGAGTTCCTGCCAATTTAAAACTTTCTATCACTAAAACTCAAGATTACATCCCATTCAGATTCAACCGTTTGACAACCATTTTTATGTCTTCAACCCCAACAAGCTTCAGTTCATCTCTTAGACAAAGATCCAACTCACACTCTTTTTAAAAACATCTATCACTACTAAATAACTTATAATTGAAAATTTTAAGATAATTTCTATTATTATTGTTTTCCAAATCTAACCAAGTTTCAGTATTTTCCATTATATTAAAGTCTTCCATTTCAACTAGAACCCACTGTTATCTGCTCAGATAACTGAGGTCAGAATTGTTGCTAATAACAATACTGATGCAATGAGTATAGGAGACTTAAGCTTTAGAAATGTGGACTGGGGCTGTATGGAGTCTAACATCAAGGGAGAAAGATTTCTTTGAAGTTATTGAATATGGTTTTTCTGTACTAAACAGAAAGTCAACTGGGGTGTTTTCATTTTAGATTTATTGTTAACCACTAATGAGGATATTGTAAAAAGAGTTAAAGTAGTGAACATTTGAGGGAGAGTGATGATTACATAATTAGGTTTGATGTTGTGTTACATGTTGATATAAAAAGAAATTAAATTTTAGTTGTTAACTTTAAGAAAGCCAAGTTGGAAACCACGAGACAAGATTTATATGTTTGTAAATTGGAATAATGAGATAAGTGATGTGGAATAGAATTGGCAATTTTTGAATATAAGTTGCTTTTATTTCAAGACAGCCATGTTCCTAAAATAATGAAAATGATAACAATGAAGGCCAAATCTATTTGGCTTATTAACAACACGAAGAAGAAAATTGCTGATAAATACAAAGGATTAAGAAGTTTAAATTGTCACTACATTAGAAGGTTTATAAAACTGTAGGAAAGCAAGTGATTTGGTTAAAAAATAAATACAAAAGGGCTAGTGAGAAACAGCTGGCTGATAATTTTAAACTAGCAACAAGGATTTTGATGTTAAAAATAAGCAGAATGTTAAATTAGGATTGGGCTTTGAAAATGCCGATGACAAGTTTTTTGTTCAAGACTATATTAGATGGTTGGCTAAGCTTTTAAAATTTTATTCTCTTCTGTTGTTACAAGAGAAGATATCAGCAGTATTCCTAACTGAGTATTCTGTGTATATGCAACTTTTCTCTTTCATTTTTGATAGATAAATAGACACTGAAGATTGTAGAGTTACTAATGTGACTTCTTTTTAAAAAGGAATGATAAGAGTTGTCTAGGAAATTATTGGCCAATTAACCTTACTTCTCTACTAGGAAAAATTCTAGAGAGAATCTGAGCTTTACAAAATCATTTAGTGAAATATAACATTGTAAAATAAGGCTAACATGCAATCACCAAAGAAAATCTTGCCTTACTAATATGTTATCTTTTTTTCTGAGGACATTACTTATCTGAACAATGGAAAGGGTATGGACTGTGTACTTCCAAAAGCTTATGATAAGGTGTCGTACAAAAGATTAACTTAGAAAATCATATCATTAGGTATTGGGGTAAGATTGATTAATTGGGTTCTAAGGTGGTTGAATGAGAGACGGCAAAGATTATTAATAAAGTCCTTCCAAACTGGACCGTTGTTTCTAATGAAACACTGTCTCAAGGCTCAGTACATAGGCCCTTGCTTTTTATTATGTACATTAATATTATTGATAGGGACAGGACATAATTGCTAAAGTTTACTGATGACATTAAATGCATGGATATTTATTGCTGTATTGAGGATGTGGAGGTATTACAGAATGATTTGAATCAATTGGTAAGTTGGACAAATATTTGGGAAATGACTTTTCATTGTATTGAATGCAAGTTAATACTCTTAGGTAACCACAATTTAGACCACACTTTTAATATCAGTGATAAAACATTCATTACCATGTCTGAATTAAAAGATTTTGGCATATTGGTGGATAACTTTTAAGTCACTCAAACCATCAAGACATTGTGTGCAGTTGTTACTAGTAAGGCCAGTAGATTTGATTATATGTCAAAGGAGGTAATTAACTGTACAAATCACTAGCTAGACCTCACATAGAATAGTTTTGGTTTCTATATCTAAGAAAGGATATTAATTAATGAAAAGGGTTCAGAGAAAGGCTAATACAGTGATTCCAGGGATGGAAGGGTTCTCTTACAGGAGTATGTTAAGATCTATTAACTAATTTTCTCCTGAGAATATAAGAGTAAGAGGTGATCTTTTTGAAGTTTTAAGGTAGTGTGTATGCTTGATACTCAATAGGATGAATTTTGTTCATAGCAAGGTACAAAACAGCTTCTTTTCAACACTGCCATACAAGCTTGGCTTTAATATTTTCAATAACACATCCAGTGGAGCAACAACATGTGAAGTAATATTTTATTAACTAATGAGTATTGATTCACCCTGTACTCAGATAATAGGCTCTATTCATCTGAAGAGAGTTTGGAACCAGATTCATGGCAGGAACTGTAAAGATGTGAAACAACATCTTTTAAATGTTCATTTCTAAGTGTAGGTTGAATAATTAATGATGTGTATTTCTGATCACAAGACTGATATCAAATGAGATTGTAATTTAATTGGAAAGTGGTGATTGATGTTGTTTTATAAGAGCTGTTCTGTCTTGCCATAACTGTAGCATTATAAATTCTGATTATCCTGTAATTTAAATATAACTGTGAAATGTATGATTATAATACATAGTGCTAGGTGCACTTACTGATATGTATGTGATTCTAACAATAACAAATAGATATTTTGTTTTATCAACTGTTTATTCCATTTTCAATATACTCCAAATAAACTTGTCATAATTACAAGTTTATACAACACATTTGGAAAGCTTTATTTATCCTGTTTCAGAAATTGTGCTCCCTGAGCATTTAATGTTTAAAGGAAAATATATTTGTATTTCATAGGTTGAATTAAAGTTTCATTTATTTTACATTTACACTGTGTTTTACCATGCTTTTCTGTAAAACCTATAACAAGTTTTTCTTTTCCCAAAATAATGAGTCCTAGACTTTTCTTTTTTGCCAAATTCTAAATAAAAGTTCTGATTAATTAAACATTTTTAGCAGAACTAATTATTTACTGTAACAAGTTTGTGAAGCATTACAATAAGGAGTGCTAGTCTTATGTTTTCATATGTTGATACTAACGGTATTGGAAAGCAGTACGAAATGCATGTTGAGGTGCCAGCACACTAGTTGGCTGTTATAAAAAGAAGGACAATTTTTGGTTAAAAATTCAAAACATATTCCTTTGGTTAATATTTCATCCTTATGTTTTATTAGTAAAGCAAAAAGTATTGAAACATGAGTACACCTTGAAAAGATAGCAGTGATGTTTTGCTTTTGTGGTCTATTGTTAATAGGGAGTTACTCATAGCCAGGACTCTGTTACTAACACTTCGTATCCAACTGATGGTATTGACTGCTACTTCTTTTGCAAAACAGCTTCAAGTGATCTGATATTTTAGAATCTGTCACCTGCTTAACAAACTTAATCTCTCCATTAAACTTTATTAAAAATAATTTTATGGTTCGATTTAAAATGTAGATCTTATATAAACTAATTATTTTTTCATTAGAATTGGTACCAGTATTCTGAAGACCAAGAACCAGAAGGCTCAAGTAAAATGTTTAAAAAAGAAGTTGAAGCATTGTTTTCAGAGTTCTGGCAATGGAGGCTACAAGAAAGCCCAGAATTTGCTTCAATTATAGGAAACCATATTTTTGATGATAAACTGGAGTCGTATTCCCTGGAAGCATTTCAGAAAAGAAAAGTAATTATGTATAGTAAATAATAATTATTTAACTGGATATTATTACTTCTTTCTTTTGGCTAGATTAAAACATTTGAAGTACTCAGACTTTTCTTTTCAACTGTAAATATGAAACAATTAACATTTAGTGTATGTGATACAGAGCCAGAAGAATGTAAGATGTGTGTGTTTGCATTCTCACTTCTTTTTATAGTTTTTCTCCGATATCTAAGCTGAGCATGGCCCATTGATTTGTGTGCTATGCAATGGGTCTGTGAGTCTACTATTACTGCATGAAAAAATATTGCCTTCCACGTTTTGGGGATGTGGCTGTGTTAGAAGGATAACAGTCAAATTCTACTAATTGGTTAGACAAGAGTAGTCCAAGAGTTGGTGGTGGGTGCTGTTGACCGGCTGCCTTCCCTTTTGTCTTTCAGTTCAAAATTAGGGATAACTTGAATTGGTTAACACAAATAGCTCATGTTTATCCATCTTATAGAAATATTCCAGTGAAAGAGTAGAATTAATAGTAATACATTTTAATCACAAACAGTAAGGTATTTATTACATCAATTAATGACAACAGAACATCAGTTAACAAATTTGAATTCTGAATTGCATTAGTCATTTCTTAAACTAGATCAACATAAGTATTAGGTCATCAAGAAATTAATGTTTCTTTTTTTAGATGAAAAACCCAAACAACATATATATCGAAACAAAACATTTATTAAATGAAATAGTCTCCATTCTTATCGATGATGCTTTTACATTTTACAATAAGGTTGTAATGCCCCGATTACAGAAATCACTTGGCTTTGAAGCAGAAAACATGTCGACGTCATCTTTAACGCCTTTCATATTTGCATACCTTTTCTCGTTAAGATGGTGTTGTAGCGAACGAAAAACATGGTTATCTGATGGTGCCATATCTGGAAAATATGGTGGGGGAGAACTTCCCAACCCAACTCCATAATCTTGCGTTTGGTCAAACATGCCACACCTTTCCGATTG